GCAGGGAGGGAAAACGACAGGTGAAAGGAATGACTAATTAAGGGAGAGCAAACAGGCCAGATCATGACAGTAAGTTTTTTTTTAAACTTAGGGGGTGTGGCTTATGGTGAGGTGTGCGCTACAGTCCAGAAAATACGGTAATATGCAGTTAAAAGGAATTATACATGTACAAAAAAATTACAGCACCTTAGAAGAAAACTGCAATAGATAAATGCATAGAAATGTGGTATCTGGATCTGGTGAGATAAAACTAACGCCAGCATCACCACTGGACGATGGAGAAACTAAGGTCTGCAATTTAGGCAATATTGTTTAAGTTAATTAAAGTATTACAATTAAATGGCAGAAAGCTTAATGCGATGGGCTTCAGACTCTTCTCCTCTACCTCTTTTCCTTCCAGTCTCCATCTTTAGAGAGATATTTGACAAGATAATCAGAAAATACAGGGAGGCTCACACAGGGTTAAGGAAAATAAAGGAAAGCTCTAGTTCATAGAGCTTGGATTGATTATTTGATCCAGTAGGAGTAGATTTATTTATTTATTTTTTTTTTGCATGCTGTATTTTTCGTATGCGTATTATGTATTCGTATATTATTTTTTATGTGCTCTCTTTACATTAACTTATGCACTAATGTTTTTTTTATGACATATTGTCAAAGTCAATACTATCAAGGATGCATTTTTTTTTTGACTAAATAAAAAAACCTTTAGCAGGTACAGTATTAAACATGTTTTATTTTATTAGTATTTGTGTATCAACAATAATTTTACTGGTCTTTTCTTCTATTTATTTAAATGAAAATGATCATAATTAACAACAATAAAGGATGCAAAACATCCCTCTGTGTGTATTTACTTACAGTGTAGAATGTGCTCTTCTTTAAATGATTATACTTTCCAACAATATTCTAATTTAGTGAATATGAATTCCTTCCTAGAATAATAGCACGGCAAAAAAAAAAGGAAAAAAAATATATATATTTTTTTTAGGTCATTTTAATGCAGTAAATGTTGCCTTAAAAATTAGTGTTTGAAAATTAATAACAACAGATTTATAGAAATGTGGTTTTTGAATCTAGAAAAATGTTTTGTACCTTAGTTTGCCAGCAGATGGAATCCAAAAATCTTTGATTGACTGCTAAGCTAGTGTTAGCCATTCATTAGTTGGAAAGCAGGATGAGAAAAAAGTATTCCTTGTCATTTTCTGCAATCCCATTATTTTACCACCACAAAATGGAGTAAATGTTGTCCAACCTAGAATATAACTTTTTTACGTTGCAATGTACAGTTTATCGCTGATGATTCACTGTGGTATTATCACTCTTTTCCTCATCAAACTACAACATAGAAATTATATTCATATTGAGTCTTTATACTCTCTTGTGGCAGAAAATTATGAAGATAGGTATCAAAAAGTCATTATTTCCTAATCAGCAACAGCTTTCCATTATATGGTGAACTAATACGGCACCGACGGTCAACTAGTGATGGCCCGAGACCAGCGGCAGCATGCGACTTTTGGAGCTGTAGAGATAAAACTTTTTCTCAAATGCCAGCTAGTCTGTGGCATTTAGGAAACTGTAATCCTTTTCATATAATCTCCCTAAATGGTCACAGCCGCTGTGGTCCACTGATGCTAATTAAGGTCAGTTAGGTACAACAATGAGAGTTCAAATTCACGGCTAGTCTTTCATGTGTTTCTGTGTTGTCATGTTTTTTTCAGTTTTTTTTAATATCGGGGTCATAAAGGTTTTACAGTCTTTAAAGTTGAAATAACAATTGACTGCCTAAACAGACTATGCCATTCTCATTCAGTCGGTTTCATTATCCTTCACAAAGAAATCCTTTAAGCATAGTTATACATGTTGTGTCATAATGTACCAGAATTTGAGGCAAGGCATGTTTAATGGGGCAATGGCTTGCATGCCAAGTGCAAGATAATCCCATAAACTCAACATTATTATTAGTCCTGTTAAATTTGATAAGAATTAATTTGCCCTGGATGTGCTTGTCGGATTCCTGCTGTTGAGGACTAACAATTCTTTCATTTGCCTCATCTTATCATGAGTATTAATGCTGAGATCACCCAGTTTGATCCCATTTAGTCATGAGTAGTCATGAGGAGCTGTGCCAATGGATCTTTTCCCAGCAATCACTCTGCTTTCCTTAAAATATCAATGTATTGGGGGAAACATGTGAATTAAGGTATTTCTCATTTGTTAGGCTGTGCCTCATGTTTTGAAGTGTTTAAAAAAATAATCTCAGATTATTTTGAAGATGAATCGTGAACCTTAGTGTGAGTAAAGTTTCCACTTGTCTACTGCTATGCCTCATCAACAGCATAGCCTTTGACCTAACAGTAGGTGGCAGGAGTGTTGTTTCAAGAATATTTATATATATATATATA